TAAACGTGACTTTGGATCGCCACCAGAAAATTGAAACAGAATCACGTGATTGTCGAGTTATAATTTCCCGCACCATATCTTATTCAAATAAAATTATTAATATCATCATCGTTATTTTTCATTTTTTTATTAAAGTACCAGTCCAAATTTTGTTGAGTGCGTTTTACGCCTCTTGATGAAGATGAAGGTTCTATTGGTCGTTTAATGTTTCTTGAAGGTGATGACTTTCCTACTATTCTTGGTGGTGGCATTAAGGATTCTACTGTTTCTTTAACAGCAGCAGCATCTTCCGTCTCATTAATCATCCATTCTAAGAAATCATCAGAACAATTGCTTTCTCGACGACCAAACGTTGTGCCTTCATTAATATTAATCTTATCGGTCGAGTTATCCAGCATGAGTCCTACAATCTGTAGTTTTTTCTTTACAAGAGGCCATAGGATATCATCTATATAACAAATATGGAACATTTTTAAAAGAAACAATGAAATGAACAAACAATCTTTATTCAAAAACATACCTGCAGTACCATCTGCCAGAATATATTTTATGTCAACTTGGTCATTTCTGCCTATTCTCTGCAATGGCAGAAAAGAATAAGTGACACCAGAAAAATTATTTATTTATGATTCGAAGCAGTAGAAAATCTTACATGAGCTCTATCTTCTGCCTGTAATAGTTCTGCGGGAGTCCAGTAAAGCTCCGCAAAAACCACTGAGAAAATATTTAACAGATAAAACTTAATAATAACATATAATATATAGATATATTCTTTGTAATTACCTAGATCAGCAGCAGTCAAAGTCAATCCAGTATTGGCCGCAGTGATACTGAGAAGTGCTATCCGGATGCTACTATCGTTTTGGAATTGATCGACTAAAGCTTGTCGTTTGGCAGACGGCACAGATCCATCAATTCGTACATATTTCTAGAATAAATAAATCAATTAGTATTATTAAAGACGTTAATCAGATTGATAGAGTAAACCTATTGCTGCCGTTATTCACTTACTATTGACTCTTTCTCAAACTCTCTTGAACACCCATCGAGAACAACTTGGTGGTGCGCAAACACGAGAAACTTCTTTTCAGTTGATTCGTACAATTGTTTGACGTATTCAAGTATTCCAGGCATTTTTATCACTGCCGTTGTTTCCCACTGAAAAACAAAGAATATAGTAATAAATGGTTGACTAACACATCTGTAGAATGAATTAAGTATATAGAATAACAATACATATAAATACCATCTCAGTTAGTATACGCTGTTTTTCTCTCTTTATGCTAAGAGCATGTTCCTCGTCTTCAGACTCGATTTGATGTAAAATTTTCTCTTCTTTTTCATCGATTTGCGCTTTTTTCGATTTTAGCTCTGCTATTGGTTTCATTGCTTTTTTGTCAATTTCTATAAAATAAAATTCGGTATATTAATCAATCAATTAAAAGACGGACTATACATTCAATAGAAATAAATTCTCACTTATTTTTATTATTGCTCGTGTTTTTTTTGGTAGTTGTAATTCGACATCTTTCTTCAATCTCCGTATTAATATGGTTTTTGCTAGTACCCAATGCAGTTCTTTTAAATTCTTGCTTCCTATACATAATCAATCAAATAAAGCTATTTATTAACTATAATCGAGTAAATTATCAAATCATTATTATATTTATAACATTTAAAGTAAATTTCAGAAAACAAAGTTACCTTTATTGTTCCAATACGCTTTTCCACCATATTGCATGAATTTACGATCACAATAACAATTGGCAAATTGATTAAAATTTGAAAATAATTTTTTGTTTAACGCCCCAAGGAGACTAAAAAGTTCTTCTGCCCTAGAAAGTGCCTATCATTATAGAACTTGTCTTATCAAAATACGTGCATTGATGAAAGAATAAGAAAATTTAAAAAGATTATGCTTACTGGAGTACCCTATTACAAATATCAAGTGAAATAAAAGTTTTGTATTTAAATACAATCATATAAATAATTCAGTACAGTAAGTATATTTACGGTCAATAGAATTGCTCTACTGGACTCCTGGATCAATTTTATGGAGATTTGTGATCTTTGCGCCTAAAATATAAAAAAGTTAACATAAAAAAGCACTTGGTAAAAAAAAAAGAAATTCAACACATACTGATCGATTTTTCAAATAATGGGCCTCATCGGCAACTACAACTTTGAATTTACTACGAAAACCTTCGCCCATTTTTCTACAAAGATCATAACTAATGATAACAAACTTCGCCATAGGATTGTACAATTTATCAGATCCATGAAAAATGACTTGTATATCGTACTCAGATATTTGTAACCATCGTTGAATCTCACTTGACCACGTCAATCGTAAGCTAGATGGGCATATAACTAATACAGGCCATTCGTCATAATACGAGCAAATAGTCAAGGCTTGAAGAGTTTTGCCCAGTCCCATTTCATCCCCGATTAGAACTCTGCCCCCTTTCATTATTGCCTTAATGACACCTTCCTTTTGGAATGGCATTAATATATTCCATAGAGCTGATGAGATTTTTGTTGTAATGTCAGCCTCCACTTGTTCATTAGACAATTTTTCATCGGAATTCGCAAAAAGTTTGATAATGTGTGGGGGAAAAGTATTGAAAGTGACCTTAAAATCTAATTTTTTGAGTTCTTTGATACAGTGTTCGTAATACTCGAGTGGTATTTTCCAGCCTTTTTCCATGGGGCTAAATGTTGAATATTTATATCCACGCCAGAATTTTTTTACTAATTTCTCGTAATATCCACGTACAATGAGATAGTTTTCGTCATAAAAATCAAATTTGATCTCAATGGGTTGATTATCTTGAGAAGGTGGTGTTTCTTTATCAAAAATACATATCGGATTTTGCATCGAAGTTTTTGGACATGGGTTCATAGGATTAGTGTTGGTAATAGTATTGTCGTTTGAGTTTGGTGACGATTGCGGTAAACCAGTAATATTATTTTCATTTGACTTGGATAAAGGAGTTTGTGAAGATGGATCAATATTAGTAAAGTTGGATACTTGAGATGTAGTCAAAGTTGGAAACAAAGTTTGCGGTTCGTCTGCAATTGGGGTGCTAAAGACTTCATTTGTTATTTGCCACTTAGCATCCTCGATATTATTGTTGCACTGTTCATTGGATTGTTGTAAATTACCGTTATCAATATTATTATTTCCTATGCTGTTAGTTTGTTGTTGAACATTGACTGGTGATAATAACGTCTCAATAGTTGGTTGTTGTTGGTTCGAGTGTTGTGGACTTTGACCTTTCAAAGGTGATAATGACGCTTTAATGCTCGGTTTTTTTAAATTCGAAACTTTCTTGTAATATTTATCCATTTCCACTGGCATATCAGCCCAAATGAAGAAATTTGCACACGAGCATGAGTAAAATGGTCTCCCTTTATTTTGATTATCTTTCTTGACGTGTAATAAGTTTACTTGGTTTCCACATTCTGTACATTTAATGGTGAATTCGTGAGTTGCCATGTGTTTTATTTACAGCAAGAGAAGAGAAAGATAGCAAGCAAGCACTACGCGTGTTAATATATTTTAATCGTCTATGCGTAATCACGTGATATCGATGTAAGATCGCGTCTGCAATTTAATTCCTGTGCCGAGAGGGTTTCAAACAGGAATTTGGATGGTTCGAGTTTTAGGTAAGATGGTTTCGGTTTCTATATTTTACGTGACGGGTTTATCAACAATATTCTTTTATTAACTTTCAATCGTTGCTTTTCTAGCTAAAAGCCTTAAACTATTCAATCAATCAATATGCCGTTTAACAATATCAATGCCTTTTCTGGATCAAAGGACCTAACCACAACCAATTACAACAATTTTACAAGTCTAGATTGCTTGAAAAAGAATTGTACGCAATTAATTTCTGAATTTTTATTAACGTCCGTGAGGACTATATATACATCTTGCCAAGTATTATTCTGGAATTTATCACATGTTTAAGAGAGAATTTTAATTAAAGATCGAAAAAAAAATAGAAAACAAAAGCGAGATAAAAATAGAAATTAAAATAGAAGATCAGGATAAAATTTGGAGTGAATATATAAAAATAGACTAACGGAATCGGTCAAGCGGGTTTTACCAAAATTGCGAGATTATTACTGATACTATATCGATATATTCACGGTTTCAGCGATTATTTTTTGAGAAAATTATATTGTTATTGTTACCTTGACAAAGTATATTAAATAAACAATAGAGGTATTTGTAAATTTTAATAAAAAATGTTATTCCGAAGACTCTTTTCGTGCACTGTATATCGACAATACAATAATTTGACGCGTTATCCCACCAGATAATATATTATTTTATCGTATTTATTTATTATTCTTGTAATGTAATAATTTAGCACATCCATTTAAATATTTTCATATTTTCTTTGTATTATTAATCAGAAAAATAGCCAACCTAATTAACAACATGCTTTGTCAAAAGAAAATCCTTTGCTGCGCGGGCGTTATTACATTGGCATGCTTTCATTTGCCCACTGACAAGAAAAAAGGTGTTAATATTATGTTAACTTTGATCTCAATCAAAGTAATATATTGTTAACTAAAAAAAAAACCAAAAATTTACATACCAATTTAAAAGTGCGATCAGATCCACAAGAAACTACGAATTTATTGTCTAATAAAAATAGTTAATATAGAAACCAAGAATAATAAGTAGTCGACAAGTAGGAAGATAGTAATATAGTACACAAACCTGAAGACACATCAACGTCCATAACTTTACCATCATGCCCAGCCAATGTTTTGAGCAAATTCCAATCATCCGACGACCAAATATTAACCACACCATCGAATCCACTACTTGCCATATAGAGTCCCGAAATCGTGGGTTTATTAATTTCACCGTTTTCATTTAACAATTCCTCATCATTCACTAGTTGTGGGGAATCATGGAAAAATCGGACATTGGATACAAGTGATTTATGTGCTGGAATGGTGTAAATTGCACGCAGAACACGCATATCCCAAATTCGTATTGTGTTGTCTGCGCTTCCAGTCGCTACTTGATATCTAATAAAATAAAATAAAATAAAATAATAAAAACAATTTTTTATAAGTTTTTGAGATTTTGTTTGTTAATTTGCATAAACTTACCCATTAGGAGAAAAATCAGTCGCAAAGATTTCTCCTACGTGGCCTTCTAATACCATAGCTGATCTGCCTGTTCGTAAATCCCAAATACGACCAATAGCATCTCTACCCCTAAGACACCAAATAAATCATTATTTATTAATTTTCAAATCAGAAAATCCAATTCCAGACAATATCAAAATATATTATTACCCTGTTGCAACAAGAGCGCCATCATTTTGAAATCGAATTGCGCATACTTCACGAGCATGACCTTCTTGAAGTAACAATTCTACACTATTTTCAACATCCCATAGACGCCATGTTGTATCATAACTATGGCAATACAAATTCTATTTCAATATTCGAATTATACAAAAAAAAAGAAGAAATGGAATAATCGGAAAGAATAATTTACCTAGCACTTCCAAGAAACCTGCCAGAAGGATGAAAATCAACTTTTGCAACCCTCGCAACATGCCCTTTTAATGTTTTTATTGGTGTTTCACTTACAAGAGACCACAAATGAATTGAACAGTCAGCTGACCCTGAAGCTAAGTTAAGGCTTTCCTTTCCTATTGAAATAGTAGCCTGAGGATGCCATGCAATTCCACCAATACGGTCGGTATGACCTTAATATATAACAAAAGAAATTTAATTTGTGATCAAGATAAATACAAGAGCTATTGAAAAGGAAAAAATATCAAACCTTTCAATGTTCCAACAGCGTCACAACTTGGAACTTGCCATATTTTGCATAAACCAGACCAAGATCCGGTGGCTATTAATTGGCAATCAGGAGAAAACACACATTGTGACATTGGTCTATCATCGCCAATTTGCGAACTAATATTCGTGTAAGACTATTTAAAAAAAAATTATCATTGTTAACACTAAAATATGGACTACAATAATATTGTAGATGCGTACCTTTAGTTCTGCATACAAATCTTTTCTGATTGATTTTAGTTTTGGCAATGGTAGGTCGTATTCAACTCGTTGCCGTTTGAGACGATCTCTTGCTCTAAATGGATATTTATTAAAATATTAATTTCAAAGTATACAAAAAGCTGAAGATATTATGAGAGTGATAGTGAAATATATAAAACCTTGGAAGGGAATAACGTGCCACCCAACGTCTTGTATCCAATAGAGCCGGCGAGCCGAGAGTATAAAATTCTTCCTCTTTCTTGAGGAAAAAAATTATGCTGATTATCAAAACGCGTCAATAATAAATAGACAACATAGCCATAAATCTGAATTTATCACTATATAAACAGATACCTCTTCTTCAGATTCCGATTCGGATGTTTCATCCTCGTCTGGCATTACTTCTGTGCCTTCAAGTCTGGATAATAAATATCGTAATCGATCACGCCGATCTCCTGGCTAATATACAATAATAAAAAGCGCGTTAACCTTTACTGTATTAACTATATCAACCAAATTATTTAAGAATTTACATACCCCTTCTCCAAACAAACATTGTGGTTCATTCAATTCTCGAAGTTTAGCTCTAACGCGACCATCGTCGGTTGGAACAGCAAGAGTTCGAGCGCGTTTTTTCCGCTCAAACTCATCTAATATAGCTTGATGGTCCTCACGGGCTCTTTTCGAGGACTCAGTATGCTCGAATGGAGTATCTTCGGCTAAAATCATGATTTCCAAATTAATCAATAGCTAAATTATGTGAATAGACTTTTAAATGCCAAAAATATTACCCAAATCCTCTAGAGATATCCCAGTATTAGCCTCCTGTGCCTATGAATGCATTATTGATTTTGAATGAACGAGTAAAGGAACTATACATAAGTAAAAGATTATTACTATAAAAATATTACTTTAACTTCAGAAGCAGTGGTTTTTTTCCGAGCTTGTTTTTCAGTTTCTTCAATACTTCCAAAATGAACTCTCTGCTTCTGCAAGTTTGATGGAGAGGCATCGTTTCCACGTTTGCTTGTTTTGTTGTCGACATCCATTAGGGCAATTAAAAAATATACTCACTATTCTATCCTTAATTTTCAGATCACATGAATTTTATTGCATCCGGACCCCTGAGATAGTACCCCAGTTTTATTATGATTTAGATAATGTATAAATCACTATTTGTCATGACGATGAAGACAAACTTTCCTCCCAAGTTAACACTTAAATATTGCAATACAACCAAGCTTCCTTGCTTATAACAAACACTTTTTGAGATTTCCTACTTTTATGATATTTACTTTTTTTTCACTCATACTTCAAAAACCTTTGAAGTATCTTGTTTAGAAGTAATGTATATTTCCATTGAAAATTGTAATGATCTGCGAAAAATTCGTTAAATTCGAAATTCCCTAATTGATTTGCTAAATTAGAAAAATCGCAATTGGTTATGAACATATTGTAGAAAGATATTACGTTATTCAATTTCAAATTATACCAGCAAATGGACAAATGCTTTGGCGAGAATTATCAGTCATTATTTTTCATTTTGCAATATTCTTTTATGATAAAGAATTAATATACTTTCAAAAAAGACATACATTATCGTTAAAATTGCTGTTACTAATAACTAAATGTTCTTTTAAGCATACAATTACTATTGATCGAAGAAGAAAAAGATAGCAATGAATGATTTTGCTCTGAGTTAGATTATGCTTTTATTTTTTTAATTCTTGCAAACTCTCATCTAAAAGTTTCACTTTGACTCTTTTCAATTTAATCTCGCCATTTTATCACTGCCAGTAGTGTTTGCAGATTATCATCGTCATCAAATACGAATAACTTCACGCCATTTATCAAGGACTTTTTTAACTGTATTGGTAATGGTTTTTTTTCTGTAGGTGGATTACTTTTTTGGTGAATTTTCTTAAGTTCGAATTTACGAAATTCACAAATAAAATCAATTCATTATACTTCAAAACAAGATATTTAAAAGTTTTTGAAGTAAGGGTAAAAAAAGTAAATATTATAAGAGTAGGAAGTCTCAAAAAGTGTTTGTTATAAGCAAGGAAGCTTGGTTATTGTTAGCTTAGGAGGAAAGTGAGTACCCTGGCCATGGCGAAAAAAGTGTTTAGATCACGTGGTAACCAATAAGAATCGTGAATTTTTTGATCTGCTGGTGACACAAACCAATAAAAATGCGTAAATTTTTGATCAGCCCGGCAAAACAAATCCGACACAAGAAAATGAAAAAGCAAAAAAAAGCAAAAAATACGGGAAACAGATGCCTAAATCTAGCTTGATAGACTAATCAAAAATGTCGGGAAGACAATTTTATATATAATGTTGACTCCCAACCTACCCCTAACCCCAACCGTAAATTAATCTTTGACAATAATCTCTATTATCATAGAAATTTTCCGGATATACCGAATATCACATGATCTGAACACTTTTTTTCGCCATGGCTAGGGTACTCGAGGAAAGTTTGCCTTCGTCACGATTTTCTTATAAGACATATATAAATGCAGATCTCTTAATTGATAATATGACTACTAATTTGTCAGCTGACTTCACTTTTCTGAATTGGGATAAGAACCTATATTTGTAGTGATTCAGATAAATCTCTTGCTTGATAACGGACGCGTTGAAAAAATATATACCAAATACATGATGCGATTTTTATAAATATCTAATCTTCGAAAATTCATCATCACTTAAAACAAATAAACTGACTGTGTCAGCGGCAAAGTAGCTACCGGCTCACAATCGCACACCACACCATCAGCCTTCACCACATAACTATCAGGATCAACTTCAATCTTTGGCAAAACATCATTCAGCTTCATATCCCTCTTTCCGATCGACCGCGTATTTCTTATAGGTTCAATTCGTTTCTTTAGTCCGTATCGTTTTACTCGGTTTTCGGTAATGGAGGCTTTACTAACGAAAGCGATGGAGTTTTTGGACGCGGCACGACCGAAACTTCCGTACATTGGTCTTGAAATCACCGGTTGTGTGGTGGGGATTGAGGCATTGGCGTCGCCAATTTGTGACCATACGATTATTCCGGATTTTAGTATGAGTTCGGGTTTTGTGCCAAAGAATGCTGGATTGTACATTACTATATCGGCTATTTTTCCAACTTCTATTGAGCCGATTAAATGTCCTACACCACTTGCAATAGCACTAATGAACAAAAAAGAGTGAGTGTGAACTCATAAATTCAAATTAATAACAAGCAAAATATGAGAATTAATAGCTTACGGATTAATCGTATACTTCGCAACATAACGTTTTATCCTAAAATTATCAGCAGGTCCATCTTGATCACTTCCCAATCTTCCTCGCTGCAACTTCATTTTATGCGCAGTCTTCCACGTTCTCAGTACAACTTCACCCACTCTTCCCATCGCTTGCGCGTCCGAACTAATAATACTAATCGCACCTAAGTCATGTAAAATATCTTCGGCGGCAATAGTTTCTGCTCTTATTCTTGATTCGGCAAACTTTACATCTTCGGGGATATTTCTGTCAAGGTGATGACACACCATTAACATGTCGACATGTTCGTCGAGTGTGTTGGTTGTGTATGGACGAGTAGGATTCGTGGATGAGGGAATGACTCGCTCTTCGCCGGCTACTCGGATGATATCTGGTGCATGACCGCCACCGGCTCCTTCAGTGTGGTAGGCGTGAATAGTACGATTTTTGAATGCTCCGATTGAACTTTCTACGAAACCGGATTCATTTAGGGTATCAGTGTGTATATATGCCTAAAATTTTTTTTATTTTTCAGATAACAAGTTTTATAATATAAAAATTTTTTGAGAATAGTAAATTATCTACCTGCACATCATATTGATCACAGATTTTGAGACATTCATCAATAGCATTCGGTGTAGTTCCCCAATCTTCATGCAATTTCAAGCCAATGGCTCCAGCTTCAATCTGCTCTCGAAGAGCATTCGGATCTGATGAATTTCCTTTACCAGTGAATCCAAAGTTCATAGGTATTTCATCAGTGGAAACAAGCATCATTTCAATATGATTTTTTCCTGGTGTGCATGTGGTAGCTTTGGTTCCAGTGTTTGGACCTGTGCCACCACCTATCAGTGTGGTAATACCGGATGAGAGGGCCTAATTAGGATATAAAATTAGATATAAAGCCCTTCTCTCTATATCAAATTGTGCACTACGTGTTATACATACCTCTGGAATTATTTGTGGACAAATAAAATGAACGTGACAATCAATAGCTCCCGCAGTAAAGATATGTCCTTCACCACCAAGAACTTCTGTTGTTGCACCTACAATCATATTAGGCTGGACGCCGTCCATTGTATCAGGATTACCGGCCTTGCCAATTCCTGAAATTATACCATTTTTGATACCAATATCGGCCTACCGAATAAAAAAGATATTTCTCTTTATTTAATAACTTATTAATATGAAATAATAATAAATTCTAATGAGCACCTTATAAATTCCCGTATAATCAACAATCATCGCATTAGTAATCACCAAATCCAAAGCATCCGCTTCAGAAACACCATTTGCCTGACCCATTCCCTCTCTCAATACTTTACCACCACCAAATTTGCATTCATCCCCATACACTGTTGCATCTCGTTCAATCTCCAACCACAAATTCGTGTTTCCCAATCGGACGCGATCATGTACAGTGGGACCATAAGTGGCAGCATAAGTTTTTCGATCGATTTTGTGTGGTAGCGGGTTCGCGAAAGGTTTGGAATCAAATTGTTTGTGCGAGAAACCTAGAGTTACGAGATTTTGCAGGATCGAGGATAGTTTTGATTGATCAACTAGGCCGGAAGCGAGATTGTTTCCGCCGCTGATACGTTTTAAGCCACCTATTGGAACAAGGGTGACGTGTTTCGAGTCTCCTGGTTCGAAGCGAACTGCTGATCCGGCTGGAATATCTAGTCTTTTTCCGTATGCAAGTGCTCGATCAAATGCAAGAAAGGGATTTGTTTCGATAAAGTGATAATGTGAGCCAATCTTTTACACAAAAATATAAAATGTTAATCACATGTTATTATAAATGAAATCAATCTAATATTTTACCGACAGCTTTTTACCTGGATTGGTCTATCACCATTATTAGTCACTTCAATTACAGTTCTTTTCCTGCCTTTATTCAATTCAATTAGACCTGGCTTAACAACAACAGCACCCGGTGCATCTTCCGGCGAAACCTTCCCACCATATAACAGAAACTTTGACTGATCTGGGATCGGTAAAAAGCTCCCATACAACGCCAATTCCAAATTCCCATCATCAGAACTAATAGGCTCGTGCACCGTAACTAAATAAGTTCCATCCCGAAATGTGCCTTCCACTTGCACTTCCGCTAAATCATAAACATCTGGCAACACGTGACGTTTGCCAAGTAATTTCTTTCCCAGATCCATTAAATCCGCCACTGAGCGATCACCATCTCGCATAAATTCAATCAGTTGCGACGCGATAAGTGCGGTGGCTTCCGTGTGATTAAGCTTCACGCCGCGCGCTAGACGCTTTTGTGCAAGGTATCCTACTTGGTGAAGTATTAGTTTGTCTAGTTCGCGTGGGACTAGTCTCATTTTTTGTTACTTTTCTTTTTTATAGGAATTGGATTTTTGATCGGTTAATTTTTTTTTGTTTTGAGAAAACGAGACATTCGTTCTAATTCTTTATTTATACCTTTTTTGTATTAGGTAAATAAAATCACAATAGATAACGATAAGCATAAACAAGTTTTTTTTATTTAAGTGCGAAGCAAGTGATCTTCATTATCGACAAGTTTGTTTTTTAGATAAAGCTTTGTTTGTGTATATCGATATCTAACGATTGATGAAAGAACCAAATTTAGTTTGAACAACAATAAAGCATTCAAATTTGGAATATCCGGATTTTCACAAAAGATTTGCTCCAATTTTCTTTCGTATTTTCTCACATAGTAAATGGCTTCAACACCACAAGTAAACCCTGTCTGTCGCTTTGAAGACCATATCACAACAACAGACGACCACCACCATACGCACACACATGGTGGAGAACATTTGCATTCACACGATGAACATGGGCATACGCACGAACAATTAGATACTCCTGGTAAATTTAAAGAACGAGAACTACCGAATTACGGTAATAGAAATTGGAAAGAACGCGCATTTACTGTTGGAATTGGAGGGTTGATATTATTTCAATTTATAATGATATTTCGCTTGTTTGATTGATTGGTTGGATAATTGATTAAGATGGCCAAAAATCTCAAAAAGACCAGTTGGCTCCGGTAAAACAGCGCTAATGCTCGCATTATGTCGCGAATTTCGCGACAAATATTCCATCGCCGCAGTAACTAACGATATTTTCACGCGCGAAGACACTGAATTCCTCGTTCGTCATAACGCGTTGCCGGCCGAACGTATTCGTGCAATTGAGACTGGGGGGTGTCCGCATGCTGCTATTCGCGAAGATATTTCAGCGAATTTGAATGCGTTAGAGGAGTTACATGCGAAATTTAATACGCAGCTGTTGCTTGTTGAGAGTGGGGGCGATAATTTGGCTGGTATTGTGCTATATAGATTTTTTAATTATGCGAATGAATTGGCGTTGCTTATATGAATTCGTAATATTTTCTAGCTAATTATTCGAGGGAACTAGCCGATTACATCATTTATGGTATATCATAATTTCTTGAGTTCACAACAGATAAATTCTTTCTTCCTTTATTAATATCTGCTCCCTTAAAAAAAAGTTATTGACGTAGCAGGCGGCGACAAAATCCCACGAAAAGGCGGACCAGGAATCACACAGTCGGACTTATTGATCATCAATAAAACGGACCTTGCCGAGATAGTCGGTTCTGATTTGGGTATAATGGAACGAGATGCGCGAAAAATGAGGTTTTTTTTTGTTTTATTGTGCATTGATTAGTTATTACAGAAAATGTTGAATGAATCTAATAAATTGATTTTTTATAATAGAGAAAATGGCCCAACTTTATTCACACAAGTGAAAAACGGAGTCGGTGTTTCTGAGGTGGCTGATTTGATTATTGGTGCTTGGAGAGCAAGTGCTGCTGCGGATAGCATATAATATTATAATATACTACATGCAATAACATTGTCCTGGATGAAAATATTTTGAATGATGTATTTAACCCAAAGATATTTAGAGTAGCCCTTTAATAAGAATAGTCGTTCAGCAATAAAATTTCACTACTATTTCTAGTTGATTTTGTAAAAAGATAGGATTCAACTTGTTCAAAACACATGTAGCGTAATAGATATAAGGCCTCGAAGTTGATAAAAGGGGAATTTATTTCTCGAGTTAGTCCGTCATCATCCGTTAGTTTCGTTGCTTTTGCAGTCTAAAAATTCGCCATTATCATGTTTTAAAATTATTATTCCGCAACATCATGTTTCGAAACTTAGCCATGGCACTCAGCAAACAATATGCCAACTTCTACCCAAGAAATCGGGATACTAGACGAATCCTCCCGCTATTGCCAACGCTATACCAATAACTCGATGGTATACACGGAAGTTTTTTGGCGGACACGGGACATGTCTGAAAGTCCACTTCCTGTGTGAGATACTGTATTTTTGATTGTCCCTGCTGAGATAATACGGCTTGGGTTCGTAACACCAGTAAGATTAGCGAGAGACGGATCGGCAGCTAAGAGTCGGCTAAATAAGGGTAGTCATTGTGGCAGTTAAGCTGGTGGGATTGGGGACGTCAGAAAAAAGAATGCGTCGTTCTTCGGGTGAAAGGGATTCGAGATGAAAGGGGAGATTTTGACCAAACATTTTGAAGATAAAGTAAAAATGAAAAGATGGAAGGTAAAGGTAAGGGAGAAAAGATGAAAAGGCGAAAGGTTAAGTAAAGGTGAAAAGACGAAAGGTTAGAAAGCTTTAAGTTATTAAAAACGCCTCTTCTGCTTCTTCCACCAGCTATTTAGCACATCATCCATGAACAGCGCGTGTTTCTTCTTTATAAAGATTCGTGTAACGTGACGATCATTTTACAACTCATTATACAAACGCGACGCGACTCGGCTTTACATATTCAACAAAAATGTCAACTCTATTCAGACAAACATGTCTACAAGTTTTCAAAGCTCAACATTTACAGTTTCAATCCAAAGCGTTCGAGTACTTAGAGGGAGTCTTTAAAGAGAATGAAGTTCCTGAGGAAGAGGAACGCACGGCATTGTTATATATAGCACGAGAATATATTAAGCAGAATAAAGGTATTTTAATATTATTACAGTCAGGGCTCGATTTACCGATGAATCAGTTTTAAGATATCGCCGAAATACAGAATACTAATAGACATCGCTAAATTGAGCATGATTTGAATATAGTGATCTGGGAACAAGGGTCGATTTCACTAAATCGCACAGTCGTGAAATCGAACCCTGACTGTATTTTTAGAATAAAAGTAATTTTTTTGTTGTCCCTGAGAAAATAACTTTTCGCATGCAAACAAGCTGGTATAGTCACACGAAAGAAACTAAAGCAAGTGGTGACGAGCCTCCAAGTTGCGAAAACACAAGAAAACAATCCGGAAAATGACGAGGAAAGTTTCGACATTGATTATGACAAGTTCTTTAACGTGATTAGTTCTTTTGATATGCCGCGGATAGAGTATGAACCATCTATCAAGAATTTTAAGAGGTAAAAATTTGTTTTCAATTTTCTTTTAAATTTGTTTAAAGGTTGATTAAAAAACCTATAAATATGATTATATTATTATTATACATCCAGTATTGAAAAACATCCGCGATTTATTGGTGATGAGACCAGCCGCTCCATTCTCTTCAAAGGACGATATAATCTCCTAATCCAAAGATTATTGCGAAACGAATTATTTTCACCAGTTCGCTTCGATAATACAGATTCTGCAAAGTTTCATGTAACATCTGATTATTATCACTGCTATATCTTGTATGCCATATTTTTTGATAACATTTTCTAATTAATTAGCTGACGAGCATTAAAGATCTCCGTGGAAGAACACAAAAAGAATTCCTATTATTTGGAATGCTAACAAAAATAAATGAGGGAAAATATTACCTGGAAGATGCAGATGATAAAATTGAGTTGGATTTCTCGGAAATGGTTAAATAACAATAATCTATTATCATGTCTATTATTATTGTTATTTTTGTTTCTGACTCATGTCTTAATTCTCTAAAATAGAGCGCGCCATCTAGTATATGTACATCACACAGTTTTCAATTGGTGCATGGTACATACAATGAAGAAACGGAAATATTTCACGCGTCGTATATCGGGAATCCGCCAGTTGAGAAAAGGTCGGACACGAGGTAATTGCTAAATTTCCTGGGTAATATTCTAATTATAATGATAATAAATTTGTTGTTCCCCGTGAAACTTTCAGAAATGCTTATGGAAATGTCGATTTTTTGGGTATCCAGAAACAAACTACAAATGAGGTATATAATATGTATCATCGCCTGTCTTTGTTCTAAAATCATCAAAATTAATAAAATTATTAATGACATATTCAAGTAGTCATTATTAATGCTATATCAAGAGAAATGGCAACATATCATGTTTGTCGTCGTTTCGGATGTTTGGCTCGACCAAGAACAGGTAAATCAATAAATTTCAAATAAATAATTTAACTTTTATTTTGATGTTATCTTTTCATTTAGACTTTAGACAAACTTCGAAAAATGTTTAAAGAATATCACAAGAACGGGATGACACCATTCGCATTTATTTTCATTGGAAATTTTTCATATGAGCCATTTAAACTTGGTATTGGGCAGAGTCGACGATACACCGGTATAACAAGATGGAGAGATAGGAAACATGTTATTCATCTTTACAATTTATCATACAATTATGTGTATCCATATTTATGTTATAATTTTCATCACCTTTTGGAATAAATTCAGAAATGTTTAATACACTAGGAGAACTAATTTCGGAATTCGAAAATATCGCGAATCACTCACACTTCATATTTGTTCCCGGACCTGGCGATCCTTACGTGGGTGGAGCTCTGCCTTACATGCCGATACCCGAGCGATATACGTCAAGGTTTAAAGAATATGTTAAAAAGGCAGTGTTTACGTCAAATCCGTGCAGGTATATTAAATGCTTGATATTATTATAATTATTTATTAACTAATTTGACTATTCCCACAAGAATACAATTCTTGACACAAGAAATATTAATATATCGAGAAGATCTAATAGATAAATTTCATCGTAATCTGTTATTGAGAGGCTCGAATAATAACCCGGACTGTTACTACCAGGAGGTTTGTTTTCCAGAATCAAAGTAAAATTGCATTTTTTCATTTTAAACTTAACTTTCAATTTTCAATGTTCATTACTTAGGTTATTAAATCAATAATTGATCAAAGTCACATAAGTCCATTCAAACTTAGTGTTCGTCCAGTATACTGGGAATTCGATCACGCGTTACGACTATATCCCCTGCCAAATGCGGTAAGTAAAACATGTCATCTTTCCTCAGTGTAAAAGTATTTGATACAATGCAAAAAAATAAATACACACGCAACAACAAACAGTTCATAATGGCAGACCGCTTTCCACAATACACATTCGATTACACCGAATGTCACACGTTAAACCCGGGAAGCTTTAATCAGGGAACTAAGGTTCAGTGGATGCACTATTATCCGGCGCGAAATTTTTCGGAACATTGGTAAAGTATAATTTTTAAATTTTCAATTCTTTAATAGTGACATATCTTAATTTGTTTTATTTTTGTTGTTACACAAGTGAATTGTGATGACTTGACAGATGGTATTGGTAAAATAAATGGTTAAAGTTTAAAACATTATTTATTAAATTATCGTTTCGAAAATAATAATAATTTTAGTAAAATAAAAATACGCGATCAAAAATGAAACTATCATACAAAATAGATAATATTTTTAAATTAATATGAATAAAATGGTTTTTACCTAAAGGCATGTGCTTTTTTATTTTTCTTTCTGATCTTAAGCAGCGTTTAATCCATTTCCTCGCCCTCTAAAAATGACTCTTGTCTAAACCACATATCACGATAAATTCCGCCTTCAATCTGTATCAACTCATCGTGTTGACCCCGTTCCTTTATTTCGCCATCTTTGAGTACTAGTATAACATCTATTGTTTTAAAAAAAATTTGTCAATCATCTATATAATTTAATCAACGTATGAAAAATACAAAGAAACAAAAAATTACCAGAATCAGCTATCGACCGAAGCCGATGCGCAACAAAAATACTAGTTTTTCCGGTTTCTTGCAAAATACTTTTTATATTTGCGAGTAACGCCTGTTCGGTAGGAGAATCAAGTGCCGAAGTAGCTTCGTCGAAAAAGAGAATATGCGGATTTTTCAAGATTGTTCGTGCTAGAGCAATTCGTTGTTTTTCACCCCCAGAGAGCATTAATCCACGCTCGCCAACACGTGTTTCATATTTTTCGGGAAGTGACATGATGGCATCGTGGATGTTGGCACGTTTTGCTGCTGCTTCGACTTCGCTTCGGGTGGCCGTTAAATGACCATATACAATGTTATGATAAATGGTGTTGTTGAAAAGTGCTGTATCCTTAAAAATCCAATGGGTATTTATATATATATATATACATACACACACATAAAAATGAGTGCATATCAAAAAAAGTAAGATAGTTACTTGTGGCACGACACCAATATTCGATCGTAAACTTTGCAAAGTCACATTTCTAATATTTTGACCATCAATATAAATATCGCCAGCATTCGGATCATAGAATCGGAATAAAAGTCTGAGAATGGTCGACTTTCTAAAGGTTAAATAATAATAATAATATCACCATTATTGATGAATTCAAAAAATTATAAAGATCATACGTATAATGCGAAATTGATTAAACTATTGAATAATAAGAATCTTAATAATAATAATCATCATCATACCCACAACCACTAGGACCAACCACAGCTATCTTTTTACCCAATGGTACGATAAAATTCACGCCCTTTAAGATTGGACGATCCGGATGATACCCAAATATCACATCTTCGAACTTGATTTCGCCTCCTTTTAATACGAGATCTTTGGTATCCGGAGCATCCTAATAATGAATTTCATTCAAAAAAATTGCATTCAAAAGAGAAAATCGTAAATAATAACATTAATTTACCTTTATATTGATATGAACAGATTGTAAACTAAACATTGCATCCATATCAATCAAACTTTGTTTTAGCTCACGATAAACCGTGCCCAAAAAATTCAAAGGGATTGAGAGCTGAAAAACAAGTTGATTAACCATGACGACATCACCCACGGTGAGATTTCCTTTAATAAATTTCACCATTAATTTCACCATATTAAAAACGTCAAATACATCGTGTAACTTCAAATACCTTGAATTACCCCATTAGCCACCATAAACATCATTGTAGTCAAAGCAGTACTAAAAATGATATTTTGACCAAAATTCAAAAACGCCAAAGAACTTGCTATTTTTAAAGATGCTTGTTCGTATTTGGCGAGTGCTTTGTCGTATCGATCAGATTCAAATTTTTCATTATTAAAATATTTAACTGCTTCGTAGTTGATAAGGGAATCCAATGAAACGGTGGCTGCCTCGTTGTCTGCTTTGTTCATTTCCTTGCGGAATTTCGTGCTTTGTGGTTATTCCGTATTTAATTAGGTTTTCATTATTACGTATTGAATTGTGTGATGATGATTATAAAATGAAATGAAAGCATACCGCCATGAAGTCGTCTGAATTGTAAATGCTGCATAGATCGACATAGTCAATAATGTTACAGTCGCAAATTGCGCGCCAAATTGATGCACCTATTATAATTATTGGTTTTATTAACATTTATATCAAAACCTTATTGAACAAATGAATATTTCTCGCTCACCAATATACCGCAAACCATGGCTATTTCAAACGCGGTTGGCAGGATGTGAAATACCAAAGATGATAGTAAAAAGCTGATACCTCTATAATCAAACAAATTAAAAAATCAACAAAATTATTAAAGAATAGAATCCAAATTTTATGAAATAAAAACACTAACACAGCAACAGCAACCAAACATACTTTGTACCACGATCAATAGCTCTACTTAATCCGCCCGTCTGCCGGGCTAGATGAAAACTAAGGTCTAATTGATGCAAATGGAAAAACACATTTCTGGCCAATCTTCTAATTGACCGTTGGGCGACTTTAGCAAAAACTGCATTACGAAATTCGCTAAATGCACTTGCTCCTACACGGGCAAGACCATCTATTTACCGGGAAGACCAGAAAATAACATTCGTTTAAGAATAAACCAGAATAAAAAAAATAAAAAAATTACATACAGAATACGTACATCCAATAAGAGCCGATCCAGCTACAGTAAAAACTGTGCCCATTTTAGTTGGATCAATATTCAAGGAATCGATAATACTTTTGAAAAAAAATGGTACTTGGACATTCAGAACCTTTTGTTACGTAATAAAAGAAGAATATGATTAAAAACATGAATAAATTTAGTAAATTGACTAATTTCCGTTTAATTATTCACCTTTCCTCCAATCAACAATGATAATGCAATCACAACACGAGCTTTAATTGAGAAATCATCTTTAGGCCATAAATATTTAGCAAGATGTTTTATTATTTTCCAATCAGCAGTCGCAGTGTTATTACTCGAATCCTGAGTTGTTGTTGAGGTTGAAGTAACAGCATTTTTCACAGAGACAGTGGAGGAAGTTTCCTCCACTTTTGGTAAGGGTTTATTGGTGGCTGATGATACTTTGGATGTGGTAAAATCTCGTGATAAACTCGTTTGTATTGATTTCTATTTTTATTTATTAATGTCAATTCAATTAATTCTAGTATATCAAATGTATTGCCAAAATCAAATCAGAGTATTTTAAATCGAAACTCACACAATTGCTATTTTTCGGAAACTGATTCGTTTGACCAAACTTCAAAATACTTTTCAAATTCTTGTTATTCAGTGAAGAAGTAGACGATTGGTTTCTCGTATTCATAGATAGTGAGGTGGTAGTGGTAAATCGTATAGCATTAACATCATTTAAAGAATTTCTCAGTCCCGATTTCACGTCAAGACCTATCATAGGGTTTTTTCCAAAAGTACACTACAAACCAAAATGCAAGCTAAAAAAAAAATAGTTTCACAAAAACAGCTTATGCCTCGCCCCCTCCCTCTGTTTTCTTTATCCTATCGTTTCCTATATATATATATCACTGTCTTCTAATGCTGCTAACACACCATGTCATGACAAAAGATCTTTCCAGACACGGACACCCAACGCATAATAGTAGAACTACTCATAGTACCCGTTGTTGTGGCTTTTTCCACCATTAACGACGACAAATGTCGGTGAAAACCCGTGATCCCACGCACTATCATGCTGGGACATTCGGTTGATAAAGAGAAACTTTTACCAAGAATATAGCATTGATGCTCAAATTTCTATCAAATTACTCACTGTTAGTCATGTTATTGATTAATGATCCAGGACACGCATGTTTTCGAAAAATTAAAAATGAAAGCTTTACGCGCTTTTTTTGCTAGTGAAAGGTTTCTTTTGGCAAAGACTTTTCCGGATAAGGTATAATACATCATATCTATTATTTAAAATAAATAAACGGGCATACAAAAGTGATACTGGTATCTTTGAAAACTCGCAGTTACATTATACGACAGCAATCAACACCCCAAATACGAGTTTCGACCCAAAGCCTGTTGCTCAAGAGTTAATCTTCTCTGGCATACAACCAACCGGAATTCCACATTTGGGAAACTACCTCGGTGCAATATCCAATTGGGTCTCGTTGCAAAACACGGATACAAGAAGAAAAAATATTCTTTATTCGATTGTAGACTTGCACGCGTTAACCTTACCACAGGACCCTAATATACTAAGGGAAAGCAAGAAAAAGATGGCGACAATATTGATCGCATGTGGAATTGATCCTCGAAAAAGTGTAATTTTTGAACAATCAAAAGTATGTTGTTTCTTTAATTATTTCTTTTCAGTCGAAATTTCTATTGTTCCGTTGAGAAAAACCTGCGTATTCTGTTAAGGAAAGATATCGGAACATGCTGAACTTGCGTGGATTTTGAATTGTATAGCACCTTTTGGGGAATTAGGAAGAATGACACATTGGAAGGTAAATATTTATTTATAGATTATTATATTTATTAATTTTTATAACGAGGAAAAAGAATTAATTTGTACATTAAAAAGTCAAAACTACATACGGACAAAAATATCAAATCACCTCAAGACATTGAATCCACATCTGGACTCTGTTTAGGATTATTTAGCTATCCTGTATTACAAGCTGCCGATATCCTACTGTACAAGTTCGTAGAGAATTGGTTAACGCTGCTATATGTTCAAATGTTAATGAAATGCTCATCTCTATAATAACGCTACTACACCACTAAAGAGCAACGCATGTTCCGGTCGGTGATGATCAAATACAGCATTTACAACTTGCAAGAGATATTGCAGAAAAGTTCAATAAAAAATTCAATCCAATCTTTCCATTACCTAATCCGATTTTAGGTATGTTTTTTTTTCTGTCTACTATTTTCGACATTATCGTCATCAATAATAATATTCTTGATAAAAAAGTATCTGGAAGTCGAATAATGTCTCTTCGCCAACCCACCCAAAAAATGTCAAAATCCGCCACATCCGATTACAGCCGCATAAATCTCACAGACCCACCCACCACAATCGCTTTAAAAATAAAAAAATGCACCACCGACTCTATCAAAGGAGTTTCCTACGATCCGACAGAAAGACCGGCAATTTCGAATCTGGTTTCTATGTACGCAGCAGTTAAAGGAAATTCAACAACGATAGAAGATGTGGTCGCTGAGCATAAAGACAGCAATACTTTACAGTTTAAAGAGGCGTTAGCAGATGTTATTGTGGCGCAATTGGTGCCGATACAAAAGGAGATTGAACGATTGGAAAGTGAAGTGGGATATATTGAAAAAGTGTTGGATGAGGGTGCGGAGAGTGCGCGGATAATTGCCGAACAAAACTTGAAGGAGGTTCATCGAGTGGTGGGTCTGCGTTGAATTATCATATTGGTTTATATATTTAATTTAATTTTGGAACATTTGTTTTTAATTAATTATATTGTAGAAAGATTTTCTCATTGTACTGGGCAAATTTGTTAAATAACAATATTTTAATGTTTTTACATTTGTTCTCGATTTTAATAAAATGTTGCTGAATAATATAATATATATTACTGCTACTATTTTGAATTTAGGTATAATCGTCATTTTAACCCTTCATCAATCTCAATTAGCCTTCTATGCATTTGAAAATAAATTGTATAATAATGGTGATAATTATTATTACACCTTGAAGCCTCGGGATGCTCGGCGACCACGAGCCTTTTCGAATTTTCTTCCTTTAGAGCGTACATATGGTCTAATAATATATATGCGGAGAATAAAGATAGAGAGAATCATTAAATATAACCTGTTTAATCAAAAAAAAATTAGAAAAAAGAAATCCATACTTTTTATTTTTATGCGGTCCCATTCCAAAATGCTTGAATGCCTCACGCGCATTCTTAGGACCTCTTAGCAAGACGGTATTAGATCCGGTGGGAGCACGCAACGCCAACTGATCAAAAGTAAGAATCTCGCCACCAGCCTTTAAAATTCTAGCTCTTGCAGTTTTTGTCACACGAAGTGCAGCAACCGACAATTTTGGGACGTCCAACAGACGATTGTCGTCTGTCACTGTACCAATTACGACGGCAACTTTGTCGGTACTTTTGCGTAGATTACTTACAATACGCGAGATGGAAATCGGTGGACGATTCACTCTTGACATGAATAATCGCTTTAGAACTACTTTATTAAATCTTGAATCAGTGCGACGGGCCAAGAACCGGTATAACTATCCAATTTCAATGTTAAACATTAATATGATGAATCCTTTGATTAAATTGACATATTTTATAGAGTCAATAGAGAAAATAATTGATAGAAATATGAAAAGGATCGAGTGGTAGGAGAAATATTTCTTCGAGTCTAAATATCAACCCACTCTACGAAATAAAAGTCAAAAAGTCTCACCTTCACCAACAATCGGAGGTATACATCCTGACTCTTTGGTTCTGTCCTATTCTTATTTCGGACATGATGTTTTTTGATGTCAATACCCTAAAAATTACATAAGTTCGTTAATATAATTGAGCATACTAGACGCGAATAATTTTTCGCTTCCTCATTTCAAAGGCTTCCTAAAACAGCAACTCATCCATCAAAAATTTTAAAATATGTCTCATTTTCGAATTACAAATTGATGACATTGTCAACTGTTTGATAAATTCACTGCGTATTATTTATTAAATCTTTATACAGTAAACGTACCATTTTCGATCGACGATTCCACGGTGAAAAGAGAAAGATTCGTTTATCTCGCTTTCCAAGTCAAGATCAAAATTTTTGAATACGTCATCAAAAATTTTTGTGCGTCAATGTGTATGTTGATCAATCATCTATTCTCAATAGGAAATACACGTCCACTTTCTTTCGCGTGTTTAAAATTCACTTTGAGTCGAAAACTTTCTCTAAAAATGTCTTTACCTCAGGTAGGCCACTGCCATTATTGTATTTTAGAATGGGATTTTGATGAAAGCTGACTTGGCTCTACTTGTAGAAACGTTACTTTCGTCAACGTGCTCATGCTAACCCGTTTTCGGACCACCATCTTGATTAGTAGCGTCTCAAAAAATAAATTTTTTCTATTTAATTGCCTTTCTTTTTAGAAAAGTTTATTCATTATGTATATTTCGAAAAAATAGTCCAAAAAGTCCTGCTCACATAGACTGGTCGTCACATTATCCCGCCTTCTTTACGTCCCAAACAACTGAAGAGTCAACCTCGTTATTGTCTTCTACCCGGGAAGACACGAAACAATCACTTTCTATTTCTACCAAATCTAGTAATTTATTAATTGATGAATCTCTGATAAAATCGCAACGAAAAGTGGAGTTTGCAGATCTTGGATGCGGATACGGTGGACTATTGGTCGCGTTATCTACTTTGTATCCTGATACTTTATTGTTGGGTAATGTAATTAATTAGTTAGTAAATTCCTATTTCTTATCGCTATTTTTGTTTTTATCTGCAATTCTGGGATGTTGCTAATTTTTCGCACTTTGATTCACAAAAAAAGGAATGGAAATACGCGTAAAAGTAGAAGAATACGTTCGTGAAAAAATTCATGCATTACGCTTACAACATCCTGGGCAATATCAAAATATTTCAATTATACGAATGAATGCGATGAAGTTTTTACCGAATTTTTTTGAGAAAGGACAGGTGAGTGAATATTATCCGATTCATGGTGATGGAAGTTTATTGAGCTAACCTCAACTTTGTGTTCATACACACACATTTATTCTGGATGGTGTACAAAAGTTATCAAAAATGTTTTTCTTATTTCCAGATCCACATTTCAAAACGCGTAAACACAAGGCACGGATCATCACGTAAGTTATTTATTGATTTTTCTTTCTCCAAAAAAAAGTAGTTTGACTCGAGTTTTTTTTTTTTTTGATAGAACGCAACTTTTGGCTGAATACGCATATGTGCTTCGTGTCGGTGGAATAATATACACGATAACAGACGTCAAAGAATTGCATGAATGGATGGTGAAGCATTTAAATGAGCATCCGTTATTTAAACGGATACCTGAAGAAGAAACCGTAAGCCTAATTTATTTCGATCTGTGGTTTTTCTCGTTTTCCCATCACCTATTAAAAATTGATATTAATTAACATATCTAACACGCCTCCAATAAGAATAAGGATCCAGTGGTATTTCATGTAAGTCAATCAACAGAAGAAGGAAAAAAAGTGGAACGCAATAATGGGGAAAAATTTTTAGCCTGCTATGTGCGAATAGAAGATCCTTATCGCATGCAAGAGAATTCTTGATGAACGTTTCCTATTAATAAATAAAATGATATGAAATTCTCATAAATCGGATTGATATCTTTAAATAACAACTATACTCAATAGCCTGCTCCAAAGGTTGCTACACCAATTTCAGACTGCGTGCTGCTTTATTAAAGAATAATGTGTTGTATTAAATCGGCGCGTTCTCCACAATGTGATAAAAACGCGCGTTTAGATTGTTACACATGATGACTTTTAAGAGATTAATTCCAGAATACGTGACGTTGTAAATATTTATTAGTAAATTATGAAGTTTTATTTTGAGGAATAAGAGTTAAAAACTAAGATAATTTCTAATAACCCCAACAAATGCAACGTATCTCTTATTAAATTGTTAAATGCGACATTTTTTTATAATAATATTATCCCCATGGTCGGCAAATGCCAATTAGTAAGGGTAGAGTTGACTGGTAGCCAACGAAAAACGAGATCCTGAACCCATCACTTAAAAAGATGGATTCAAAATAGCAATCCATAAAATAAATACTCAATCAAACGTACATACTTACTTTATTATTATGATGATTATTCTTGAACACTCACTCATTATTCTGCTTGAAGTCTAGTTAGGTACTCTTCAATTTCATCTTCCTCAAGACCAATATGTTCGTATTTTCGTCTTTTATTGCTGATATTTTCTTCGGTTTCCCCGGTATACAATATACGGATCGATTTTGGTATGTTGTAATCATCGGGTACTTTTGAATATTGATATGGTTGCTAATAATGATAATAAGAATGAATTTTTCCAATATATATAATTAATTAATTAACGCTACAACAGTATACCTGCTGTCGTCTCTTCTTCCTTAACAGTAATCGCCTCTCTAATAAATGATATCGAGCAATTTTCTCCTCGTATTCTTCTTTGTTTTTTTGCTCTCGATCTTGATCCTCGCCGCTTTCTACCAAGTCATCCTTATTGAAAAAGACCAATATTGAATTATTTTTGGATACACTTCCCGCCTCGAAACTGTAGTCACGTATCCAAGCATATTCGTATGGCTAAATAATTATATTTTCATATGATATTAATCTAAATTATTAACGATAAATATTATGCGTAAAGTTCCAAGAAATGAAAATGGAACACGAACATCTTCCTCCTGTTCAAATAGTGTACCGGTTCTTAACCGGTCTACTTCTTCTTTTGCTGGGAGATAATAATTTAAGAAAGGCTCATTCGCGTGGTCGACCGGTTTTAAGATAGATTTATCGAGTCTTTCATTTTTTATTTCTGGCTATTAAACATTTAAATATTCAAATATATTTAGTTGAAAAGTGATCACGTAATTCAAACAATTAATAAAAAAAATTCACAAACATCATTAAGACTTTCTTCAAATTCGACACCATCGTACGGATCACCATCAAATGTACACATTGTGTACACTTCGCCCCAAGTGTCGAATTTCGGAAAGACTTCGATGAAGCTTTCCGCTTTGACATTAGGTTTCGTGGGATGTGTCAAGTTTTCTCGACGAAGAGGATCATTTGCTGCTTCGAATGACTTGAGTATTGCCTCGACTCTGTTTTCAGGCTGTTGTCTTAATATTTTTTCATCCACACTAAAATAATACTCGATGTAAATACAATCGTTTGTTTTGAATGCTAAAAATAATAATTATTTTAACATACAAATCTCCAAATTTGCTCTTCTCGCTTTTGATGTTAATCGGCTCAGAGCTGATATATTGTGTTCTACGAAGCCAGCTAGCTGTAGACGGATCTTTTCTCGTCATTAGACCATTCGATCCAAGATTCTTTATCGAGTCATCTTTAACATTCATAAGCATAAACAAATCTCTTTGGTCGATTTCATTGTATTCTAACATGCGAGGATTAAGAACTATGAAATTTTTTGATTAATCAAATTTTTATATAAAATTGATGTATTTCTTTAGATCTTTATAAATCTCGATCTATTTATATCAAAAAACCATACCATCATCATCTTCCAAAAAAGCACCAGGCATACTACTCAAATCCAAATTCATTCCCATGAAATTGTCCGTTAATAAAGACACTGGAACGTCATCTAAAAGTTTTATGCCGCGTCCAACTAAAGAACTAGATTCTAGTCTTGCGGGCATGTCTAGTCCTTTTAATGAGGAAGGTGGGGGATGTGGTGTATGTCGATGACGTACTCGTCCTAGAAACTCTTGTTTACTGTATTTAACACAAATTAAGTTAGAGAGCTTTTGTAAGTTGGTATCATTATGATTGTAATAATTAAGCATACCTTTTTTCTGCTTTTAGATTGGAGGAGTTAGTAATTCCATTATTAGGGTTACTGGTAATGTTTGCCATTCTTCAACTAATGGAAAGTCTTTATTCTTTTTCACATAAAATAAAGAGATAGACTAAGATAACAGAGTGAATGTGAATTAGTTTCTCGACATATCCACCCGAGAAATGCGCTATGTCGAAATAATTTAGAAGTCAGAACAACATATCATTCACGTGCCTAAAGTTTTCTTTGACATGGAATTAGTCGACTTGTCTACACAGGAACTGAGCACCCTTTTGAAGAATATAGTAAACGACAAGGGCAATACAGCTTCTATAGAATTTGTCAGATCTGAGAGTTTTGTACAACTATTGCGTGTATTTGGCTATTCCAGCAAGGAATCCATAAAACCTATTTCTCTTGTAATTTTAACAAAACTGTGCGAAAATGCAGAGGTCAAAGAACTATTCCAACAAACCTCTTCAAAACTAATACGTCAATGGCTAGAATCAACCGAGAAACAAGAAAAATTATGCTCACATTCCGCATTGTCTGCTGTTTTCCAGACAAACAATGAAGTTGGCTCCTCGATTCTATCACAAGATGGTCTTCTCGAAGAAATAATGGATTGTGTAGAATTTGAAACTGAGCAGGTTCAGATTGCCGTTGCTGACATGTTATCACATGCGTGTTCACAAAAAGCTTGTCGTGCATTAGTAGTTACCCATTGCCGTGGTTATCTTTTGACGGTAATGACTGAGAGCAAAAACGAAAAGCTTAAAGCTGCCGCGGCTGTCGCCTTATCCAAAATTCTTTTGGATGAAAAAACTTCAAAAGCTGTTGATCAAGTTGCCGAGAATAGTGTATCGGATGACAGTATGCAACTTGCAGAGTTATTTCAAAAAATGGTCTTGAACGATGAGTCGGATATTTCGGTAAGGTTGAATGCTGTTGAAGGATTAACTTATGCTAGCATAAAGCCCAAAGTTAAAGAGATGATCACGTACCATCCAACCTTGTTGAAAGGACTATTCACATTTGTTAAAGATTCTGAAAAGACAAGCAACACTCTATTCTATGGTGTTGTTGTGATATTAGCTAATATTACTACGTATCAAAAACCTTTAAGCGAAAAAGAACAACAAATTCTTAAACTTAAAAAATTGGCAGGCGAAGCGTCGACACTAGAACCCGATCCATTAGATTCTGAAGAACACGTATTGAAACGTAATCAACGTGTTCTAGAATTGGGTGCTATTAATATTTTAAATATACTCGCAAAGAACTCGAGTCAAATAATTCGGCAATCTGTGGCCCAAGTTTTTCTTAATCTTTCAACTGATCAAAAAAATCGTGGTGCAATTGTTCAACAAGGTGGTGTAAAGTCATTGATACCATTAACAACAAACGGGACACAAGAGGGAACTTGTCTCGCGTCACAAGCGTTGGCAAAGATTGCAATCACGACGGATCCATCTCTTGCATTTAGGGGAGAAAGAGCGGTAGAACTAGTAACACCATTCTTAACCTTATGCAAGGGTGAAAATGAACTTTTTCAATTCGAAGCGCTGATGGCATTGACGAATCTTGGAAGTGTTGATGACAGTGTAAGAACGAAAATTGTTGACGCTAAAGGAATAATAACCATTGAAAACCTACAATTTTCGGATAATACAATGATTAGACGCGCGGCCACGGAATGCCTTTGCAATATGATGTTTTGTGAGCCGGTCTATGAGATGTACAGCGACCCAAACAGATCCACAAACAAAATAAAAATTTTATTGGCATTGTCTGATGTCGACGATTTTCAAACTCGACGCGCGTCCAGTGGTGCCCTTGCCATTCTCTCGACTAGTCCTGAGGTATGTCGTATGATAGTGGATCGACCAAGAGGAGTTGAGGTTTTACTTTTGTTGCTAAATGAAGAGTCACCGGAATTACAACATCGAAGCGCTGAATGTATTAAAAATATCGCTAAAGTTGAACAGAAATTGGCCGAATCGCTTGTTAACAATAAAGTGGATGAACGCTTAGTTAAAATGATTAAAGATAGTAAAGTTGAGGCTGTGGTAATGACAGCTGCAGAAGCTTTGAAAGAAATAGCCAAATATGGTATTTTGAAGAAAGAAATTACAGAGTTAGTCAAGAAATAAAAGTACTACTCATATAATTTAATATGAATTAAATAATTTCAATTTCAATAGAAAACCTTCATTTCTCTATCTATAATGAGAACACTAAATATTTAAAAAATCTTTATTGTATTTTGGAGTAATACCAATAGAAATTGTTATACACATTTAAATACTCGTCACCATGACTTTCATTAAGATGTATCCATCGCATCCCCTTCAGTTACAGTTACCGCACTTAAATTGAGAGTCGCTACATGCGAAAAACAAATATAAATAATCTGAATCAGCAATTTTTGTTTTTCAAAAGAAAAATCAGTAAAAAAATTTACCAGTCGATCCACGCGCAAATTTATATGAGCGACATTTTGGTTCACGTCGATTTGGTCTCGCGTAACCCTTTATATTGTCAACTTTGCCTTTTTCAATTATTGTAATATTCACATCTGATCCAGATCCCAAATCATTAAAAATACCGGCTTCTATAGCTTCTTGGACTAAATCAATCGCTTCCTGACGCTATGTAAGATTGATTACAAGATTTAGAGGAATTATTACTCTCTGCCGGCTTAAAAATTATTAAGAGAATAAATTAAGTAAAAAAAAACCTCCAAATCTTTTTTCCATCGATTCTCAAGGATTGCTATTGCAGCATACGAACCACTTCCCATAACCAGATATGGCAATTTATCTGTACTTCCATGTGGTGCTACGGCAAGTAATCTAGGCCCAGTTACATCATACCCACCAAGTATAAGTGCTGCACTAACGTGTCCCTGATATCTGAAATATGAATGAATTTTAATGCCAATTTACCGAATACAAACAAAATCAATAAACTTTCGTTACGTAAATCTTCTTACTTGAAGAGCATTTGCTTCACCAATGTCAAGGCAGTACATACTCTGGTCTCTCGACCAGTTGCCAATCTGTGCAGCTCCAATTGCGAACAGATTAAACTATTAGTGAATTGCGTGTCAGCAGCAGTACCTTTTTGATTCAAGAAACACATAAATTTAATATGAACATGTGATATATAAATGAATTGTTAAGGGATCACATTACCTGCTCCACAACAATACACATTTGGAGCCATATAACGAATTTTATCGCAATTCTTATCTTGAACTATGGAACCAGCTGTAGAACGCGTATCAGCTCCAAGAACAACGCCATCCTAATCAAAAGTATAACATTTCACGTAATAATTAACCAATAATTATTTTACTTGATTACATCATTGTTTAAAAAGCTTATTTCTATCTTTACTTTTCAAATTTTTTAATACCTTGAAAATTATCCCAACAACAGTAGTACCAGTCTTTGTAGGAGTAGGAAGCTTGAGACCTTGTTGTTCTAGGGCAACATTTCTGATAGTGGGAAACGTAAGCACCAGATTTTAACAGTAATTGAAGAAAGCTCAACTCGTCTTACCTCTGATAATTTTCAAAATTGAAGCCTCCTTTGGGTAGTTCTAGTCTCTGTGTCATTATGAATAGCGACGAATTATTTTATGTAAAGCTACGTAAGCGTAAATCTAATTAATAGCGATAGGCGAAAAAAGTATCAGATCATGTGATATTTGTGTATGTCCGGAAAAATTCTACGATAATAAGGATTATTAACAAAGATTAATTTAAAGATTAGAATTAGGGTTAATAAACTAAGCTAATAGAATTGATTAAACCTTACATCACCATTTGGAACAAAAATCACAACTCACAACACAACAACTAATTATTTTTCAATAAAAACAACAATGTTTATATCCATCTCAGTTCAAGAATATTATCATTTTAGTTTTATTATCCAAAAAAGACTTATAGAGAACAAGAAACTCAATTATCACATATTTGCTTTACCAAATATTGGAAAACTTTACCAAATATTGAAAAACTTCATCTCACCTTGGATATACATGTAATGATTGTAATGAAGTTAGAAAAATTATTACTTTTGAAAATCATATAGAAAATAAATTCCAGAATCAATTACACAATCTAATTCAATGTAATTGTCATTAATGTAAAAACTATCTTGAACAATCACATGAAATATATATTATATGTAATTTAAAAAATGAAATAACTGAACCAATGATGAACAAAGAAAAAGCTCATGACAATAATTCTTCATCTCAAGATTGATCAGAAATCTCTTTTAACAATTATTATTTTTCTTATAACTGGTCACAAAATGATAATGAAAATAATCACTAGTATTTCCTGGTCACAATCAAATAGTAAAACAATATTCAAAAATATCAAGAAAGAAATATGAAATTAAGTAGTATTTCTAATAGAAAATTTAACAACAAGAAAAGTTCAGAAAACAGTAAAAGAATACCTGAAACTTTATCTACTAATAAAACATCTTTTTGAAAACAAATAAAAGAAAATATAGATCAGTTAAAAAAACAATAACAACAATTGCTTAAGAAACTTGACAATTATTTACACAAGTATTGGACAATATCAATATTAAAAGAAAATATTTCTTCTATAAGCAACATGAATAGATGATTGGATATTGCAAATAATAATCTTAGAATAAATAATCAACAACATTATCAAAAGATTCAGTTATTGAACACATGTGAAACAAATAGAAAATCAAATAATCAAGCAAGTAATGTATCACTATAAATAAAACAAGAATCATCTAAGAGAAAAATAATAATATATGAATACAATTATATGTTACAAAAATAAAATTCAAATGACATAACACAAAATATGAAAATGCACACTATTACATAGAAATTGAATATGAAAATTAGTATTTAATATAGAGCTAAAAAAGATAAAAATTCCCAATATGATCTTATTCCTAAATATTATAATATAAATTTTCTTTCTAATTCTTTTTAATTTAATTTAGTATTAATTATATATATTATTTATAATTAAAATTCTTATAAAAACACCAGAAAAATATTAATTTTTTTCTTTAGATAAAGAAATCAAAAATAATAATTTCATAAATTCTTTAATACTATAATTTTAACTGTAATTATATAATATTACTATTTACTATTATTTCTGCTGTTATTTTAACTGAAATTCTTTAATTGACTATCAAACTATTTAATAAACTAAGTATTTAAAATTTAGATATTAAATTAATCATGAACTCTCAAAGCTTTCAATTCATCAATATTAATAACAAAAGTCAAATTGTGAAAGACAATACTCAACAAATAATTTTAAAAGAAAAAGATAAAATTTATATAAATGATTTTGAACAAGAAATTATTAATGAAATTATGAAAGCAAGCACTGGATCAAAAACTTTATATTCATCAAAATTAATGACAAATACAAATGCATTAATTAATTATAATGATCTATTTAATTATACTTATTATTCAATCACATCTTTACATTATGAAATTGGAAAAGTATTAACTAAAGTTTTGAAAAAAAATCTGGTTCAATTCAAGCTTGAATCAGACTCAAACCTAATCAAAAATCTGATTTAAAAATTCAAATCTAATTAAAAGTCTGATTTGAATTCAGTTTGAATTTTAAACCAAACTCGAACCTGACCAAAAGTTTAATTTGAGTTCAAGTAAATATTTGTTAATATTCTAAGTAAAGTTATAGATTGTAACATGAATTACAAATTAATATAAAATAGTTAATATTTAAAATGAATATTTAAAAAGTTATATAAATTTAAAAAAGAATTTTAATTATTATAATTTTAATCTGCTTTAGTTTTAGTATAATAAATATTTATTTTATTATAGTTAAGATTGCTTGCCGAAATCCCTTAGTGACTGTCTAAATTTTGTCGAAATTATAATAAACTATTAGTAAATAACCCA